AATCACTTTGAACCACTTTTCTATTGTTCAGAGAAAATGTTTATTTACTCGCCAAATTAGCGCCAACTCCGCAATCTCCAAGCAGGAGATTTGAATATTTCAATATTTTCTCCATTTTTTCTCAAGCGCAGTATTGCGTACTTAAAGGGGTCTCTCCAAGCTTCGATTTGGATTGGAAGGCCTCGAGTCCTAATGCACCTATTTCAGCATTGTCTTGAAAAGTTCCTCTATCTTTCTTTTTTCTTGGTCTCCTCTCCGGAGAAGACCATGGATGCTTCCTTGAGTTTCAATTTACTTGTTACCGCCTTATAAAAGTTTCTCTATATTCTCTATTTCCTTGCAGAGATTTTTCCACATCTCTTCTTTCGTTTGAAGGATGTCTTTGTTTAAGACTCTTCTTTGTCTCCTTGTACTTTCTAAAGGATCTGAAGAATCCTTTTTTCCATATTTTCTTTTGCTTAACCCTATAGAAAGTACGCCTGGTCTCACGCACCTCTTCTTTCTTCTCTTATCTCCTCATCTTATGATGCTGAATCTTTGTTCCTTAAAATATTAAAGAGAATCTTAACTGCCCTTGATGTGTAAGGTTTTTTTCTTTCTGTCTCTATTCCATCCAGTTCATTGCACGCCAACTCTCTCGCCTCTCTTGCTCATTTTTTTAAACCCAGAGCTTCCAGAGCTTCTTTATTAATAACCATTCTCAGATTTTTTCCTTCCTGTTTAATATAATCTCTTCCATTATGATGAATGACATATTTATGGTTAGAACCTGATTTAGTCTCCAAAGCCTTGCTTTACTCCAATTTTCTGTATATTGTTTGATTATAGATTATTATATCAATCTTGAATATATCCTGTAGCTTTTCCAGGACGCAGCATGCTAGGCTCTATTTAGGTTTATTTATGTTAGATTAATGCCAGACGTTTAACATCTGTTTATCTCCACTTATTCTGTCTATTCCTCTAGTATATTCCTTATACTTGATATATTACCAACTTTGCCAGTTGCCAAGTCTATCTTAGGCTTATCATATTCTTTTTCCGCATATAGTTTGCATTTCTTTGCATTTGTATCTTTGTATCTTTGTACTTCTTATTAATTTTCTCACTTTTAATACATTTTCTACAAAGTAAATTTTTCTTCTTTCATTCGGTAACTATGTGCCCCATTTTGGCTCTGCTGTACATCTATCCTACTTTGAGTTTTCCTCCCTGCAGAATCTTGCTTGCTGCTCTCCATCTGCATCCCCATATCCTCATTTCGATGTTTTGCATTTTATTTTTCTGTCTTTAGCTTCTTTTCCCTTTACTGCCATCTTTAGTACCTATCAGATTAAAATCAGTTAATTATATAGAAATAATATAATCCTAATTATATTGAAACTATAAAATTGTGTCAGTTTATTTTATACATCTTTTTAAACTAAAAACAGCAAGTTAATATACTTCATTAGTTATCTCGTTATAAATGAGTTTCAATTAAGAAATGATTAAAGTTTATAGTAACATATGTAGTAACATAATATGAAGTAAATATTGGGACCGAATCGAGTAATTTGCCTATGTTGTCCTAACAAATTACATTGTGTTCTTGTAAAATGGTAAGAACATGTAAGAGGAAGACAAACAAATATAACTTTGATATAACGACAACAGCTTTGGGGGGGGACTTGCATGTCTGTATAAAGGACATAGAAAAGAGTACGAAAATGTAGAAATTTGTTTGAGGAAATTATTTGTTAATGAATAATGGCAGCTTTTATTTTACATTACTTTAGCATTTCATTTTACTTTAGCATAACGAATAATTTCCTCAAACACATTTTTGCATTTTCGTACTCTTTCCAACGTCCTCTATACGGACATGTAGGTTTCCCCCCGCTCCTCTCCCCTCCGCCGATAGTATATGGATAATAGTGATGGATAATGCGAAGAAAATATGAAAAAAAGCAGTTAGTGATACATTAGCAAGATCAAAATGTGTCACGTATGTATAATGTTCCTGAGACCATTTTAGAAAAACAAATAAAGGGAACGAAAACGAAAGGTAACTTGCAAAGAAAAAAAGAAAACAAAACTAAAACGCGGTTCAATTTCTTCCTATCGAACATCACAAAAAATAACTGAATTGAGAGAAAAGATGAATTCTAAAAAAGAACAATCAGAAAATTTAAGTTTGATCAAAAAGAAGAATTCCTTTACTTACGAACGAAAATATTCGCACACTCGATGAAAGATTGTCTATATTTTTAATTACTATTTTTTACTTACGATTTTTATTTTATTTTTATTTTAATTTAATTTTTTTTTTTAATTACTATTTTATATTTGCTGTAATTTCAGCTGAGTTGCGCATCAATTTAAAGCATAAAGCCTTCATTTTAATAGTTCTACATTCGTTCTTTTTCATAGATATCTTTATATTATGTATTAGGAAAATTATCGTTGTTTTCGAAAATTGCAAAAAATTTGATTGCCTCCGGAAACGCTAAAAAATTGTTTTGTGATTAAATCTGCCATAATTTTGAAGATCGAAGTCTCTTTTTTACGATGACCTCTTGGAACTTGCTGTACGATTTTTTTTCCGTCACTTTATCGAACTTTGAACATCACGGTCAAATGGCAAAAAGTTAGGATTTCTTGAATTCTTGTTGTTTTATTTCCTGTTCATTTAACTCTGTGTTCGAGGTTCAATAAAATAGTGAAAAGAAATCTCATATCAAGTTTCAAGTAAAGAAAAGGTTTCGATTTTCAAGACTATGATAGATCTAACCATGAGAAAAATTTTTTAGTGATTTTGGAGGCGTTTATATTTTTATAATTTTCGGCAATATAAATTTTAAGTTCCTTGTTTTTCAATTTGCTGCACGATATGAAAATATTTTTGACAAAAATCAAGATTAATTTAGAAATGAGAATTACTGTGCGATTTTATTTATAATAATTTACATTTTTCGACAATTTTTCATTGAGTGTGAAAATATTTTTGTCCACTTCTATATATATATAATAAGCAACACATGAATTTTTTGTTGTATAAAGTATTTGTTACTTATGTAAACAATAAAATACGGGGTATCTCATTTAAGTATGATGCCCAAATATCTTTTTTAATTACGAAGACGCAAAAAATATCTTATACGCAATTTTATTGGTATTAAGTGAGCAAAATCCTTTAATCGTTGTTTCTTTCAATAGTTGTTTCTTTTCGAAATTCTCAAAGGTCATCGATGCTTTCTTTTCAAATAACTACATAGTTTTCTCTGTTGCATCGAGTAGCTTATGAGAAAAAATATTCAGATGTGTGCAACGATATGACATTGATCTCGAACTTTTTGAAGTTCATAATTGAGGAAAATGCTATAAATGTTATAAATGTAAGTGATAAGTGCCTTACAATTTTTTACTACGAAATCCTCTAAATGTTCTTCGTACTAAATGTCTAAATGTCTAAATGTCTAAATGTCTAAATGTTTAAATGTCTAAATGTTTATTCCATTTTTTCTCAGTTATGAATTTTACGTTTTTCAGTTCAAGGTCATACCACAGTATACATGTGAATGTACTTTCTTATGAGCTATGCGATGCAATAGAGAAGAATATGTCGTTATTTGAAAAGAAAACATCGATCACCTTGAAAATTTCGAAAAGAAACAACTTGTGAAAGAGACAACGTTTATCGTAAGCCGAAATAACGATATTGGCCACTTATTACCGTTCGAATTACGCATGAAATATTTTCTGCGTCCTTGTAATAAGAAAAGTTTGGGGATCATGCTTAAATGAAACACTCTGTATACCTTATGTTTCATGCACAAGTTCCATCTTATGTTATATATGAGGCAAGATGGGACATTTGTTCAAGGAAGAAATGAATATTTAAGTCTGTGTTCGGTGTTAATATTCAAAAGTATATAAATACTCTAATGACTGTTGAATCAACAATATTTATTCCGGTTGCTCATAACTAGATTATAAATATTATATAATTATATAGAGATAATTTCCTACGATGATTCTATTTTTTTAATACTTTGAATGTCACATGTCCCACATTTGGGAAATGATATTACTTGTTGAACTTGTTTGTAAATATATTGAATTTAAATAATAAAGTCTCAATTTGTATGTATGTATAAATTGTACCTTTGGTATTCAAATTGTTAATTAAATTCTCGAAAATTGAATTTGCATAACAGCTGTCGATAAAAGATATTTATTTCTTCGTCAACTTCCGCAAGATTCACGTTACGATAATAATTTTATGGTTTTCAATCGTTCAAGGACGATGCCTGATGATGAATTTCCACAGATTTAAATTACATTTAATAAGAATAATTGCACAGGTTTAATAATAATTTTTGTAGCCTTAAATTCTGACATATTGATTTCGTTTATAATGTGTAATTGTAAAATTTATTATTGTTAAAATAACTTCTGGTGAAGATTGCACAGAAGTTAGTGGAGCGCATAGGCATCGTTCCTGAAGGATTTTCATGCGATTGCGGAAAGATAAAATTTTTCTTCGCCGATAAACGTGATGAGCAAGCGAAATAAATTTTTCTCATTAATAACTATTATAAGCGATTGAAATAGAATTTAATAATCAATAACCAATAAACAAAATTTTCGGCCAGGCATGATCGCGATCTGTAACCAACATCTTTAAAAAGCAAAATGTTTTGATTATGTGATTATTCTCTTTATATTTATAAATAAGACTATATTTGTTTATATCAATTAACTTAAATGAGTTAAGAGTATTAAATTGATTAATATTCTTAGATTAATCTTAGTATTAATAAATAAGACTGAATTTCTTTGTATTAATTAACTTGAATAAGTCGAGAATATTAAAATAAATAATATTAAATCGATTAATATTTTTAGCTTAAGTGCGATTGTTTTTATTATATTACTAAATGAGAATAACCATATTTCTTTATATTGATTAATTTAAATAAATTAAGAATATTATTAAATAATACCAAATTGGTTAATATTTTTAGCTTAAATAGTAAAAAAATTTCAGTGTTACTTCAGTAAAATTTTTTGGATAACTTTTTGATTCTTGCGTTTCAGTATTGAATTTTATTAATTATATGCGAGCGAATTCCTGTCCGTGATGAACAGCTGAGAATCGAATGAATTTTCATGCTAAAACATCAGATATAAGTGATTAAGTCATGTACAAAGTGGACTACTTAAATGGGATCATCTAATGGTAAAGTAATTTTAAAGATAGAGATAAACTTTGTTAATAAAAGTTCATGACCGTTTTATTACTGAGGGAACCATAATATCGCAGTGGTGATTTTTTTTTATAAATGAAGGAGTTTCGAAGATTTCAATGTTACCTCTCAGGTTTAGGAGTAATATTACGATATATTTTTTTGTTACTAATCGATATATTCTCGGCATTCTTTATAAAAGAAAAGCATTATGTAGAGAGGACAGAAGTACTCGATGAGAAATTATCTATATTTTAAACTGTTTGAACTTCATAAAACAAATTCGTACACTCTTGTGGCGTCGTTTTAAAGAATGATATCTCTACTTTACACCCTGCAACTTCTTTTTTCTAAAGATGTTTTCACATCATACAGCGGGTAGAAAAGGAAAGATGTTTTTGTCGTTGTAAACCGTAAGAATTCAAACATCTTTGAAATCACTGAAAATTTTTTTTCATTACTAAATCTATCATAATTTTAAAGATTAAAATAGTTTAAGATTTTTTTAATTTAAGATAATTTTGAAAAAGTTTTCCTTTGCATCAACTCCTTAATACTTGCTGTACGATTTTTTTCCCAGCATTTTAATGAACCGTAAGTATTTATTTCTTGAACTTTTGTTATTTAACTTTTGTTTGAGGTTCGACAAAGTGACGAAAAAAAAATCGTACATCGAGTTTCAAGGAGTCGTTGTAAAGAGGAGACTTTGGTCTTCAAGACCGTGATAGATTTAGCTGTGAGAAGATTTTTTCAGTAGTATTTTAATTTTTACAACTTTTGGGAACAGGAGTATCATTGCTTTTCCATTTGATGCATGGTGTAAAAATATCTTTGAAAAAGTAACGTTTGCTACACAAAGTGAAGGCAACATTCTTTGAAATGAGATTATTACACGACTTTTTTTTAATGAAATTCCAACAACTTTGAGATATAGACAATTTTTCACCGAGTGTGCGAATCCTTTCGTCCACCTATGCATATCGAAAAATTAGTTTGAGAGATAATTTTAGCTTTAATTCTGCAGAATCTACGTATAAGAAACAAGGAAATCTTTCATAGATTTTACAGACTTAATGTTAAACTAATAGCACTCCTGAACTAATAGCTTTACGATTTACATTAATATTTTTTTTCTACAGAGGATGTCGAATTACATCGATGAATGTCGCGCATAAAAAAATATATCATTCTATTTAAGAAAACTGGAAATAATCATGAAATCTTAGAAACCCTTTCACTTATATAAAGATCAAAGACAGCGGCCTGCGATGTTACGGTCTGTCCTTAGTACTAGATAACTTTTATTAACAAATGTATATGTCTCAAAAATAACATAATAATAATAATAACATAATAATAATAATAACATAATAATAAAAATAACATAATCTGGAGTTATATAGATCCCATTTAAATGGTCCATTCTGTATAATAAGCAGTATTAAGCCATATATATAGATTTAAATCATATAAAAGTAACAAATGTAATAAAACGGTGCATAGGCAATACGTCTGAAAAAATACACGTTGTAATCGAAGCAAAGGAAACGATTTTTCAACTATGTGAGGGGGTGTTGAAAGTCTGAATTTCATCAATATTTTATTGAATTTTATTGCGATATCGATCAGCTTTGATAAATGTAAAAATATAGAGAATTCAAGAAGCGAAAGAATTCTACAAAACTATAATAAGTTAAAGGATATCGACACATGGGGCGTGCTTCATGTGTTTTTATTACGAAAGACAGAAGATATGAAATTCTAAAGCAACGATTCTTTTTGATTATTCGTTGATTTATCAAAATCATTTTGAACACCCGCAAGACATAGCGAATCGAATCGAGCGTTGTAAAAGCGAGACAAATCCGAAATCGTTTCCTAGTTGTGAGAATATTTTAGTTCGAGATCGTCATTGAAGTCTGAATGGTCAGCGTGCAGCTATCCGAGAAGCTATCGAGTCATGGCAATATTTTTGTTCAGAACGAGGAAAAAACTGAAACTGTTGCAGAGAATGGAAATATTCAACTGAGTAGCATCTCCAGAAATTTTAGCATTGAAATTTTGAGCAACAGCCAGCGTGATAGTTACTTTAATTTCACTTGCTCCAGAGAAGGTCCTAAAAGAATGTTAGCATCAAGAACCCGATAAGAAAACATACCAGCGATAAGAGAATGGACAACATCCGAATCCGACAACGAAGCGAGGAAAGCCTGGAATATAAGTAGGTTTCAACTTGAGTAAGAACCATTGACATTTCTTTGTGAAAAAGTAAAATGTTGTTCATAATTTGACAGAGTATTTTTCACCGCTTCTCCAATCCTCTCAAAATACGATGCCCCAGGAGAATTGAAGATTCAATTGTCTTCTGGTCTTCTAGTCTGGAAATGATGATCTGAAAGTTGGAATTGTGCAGAGAAGACAAGTGTTGCAGTTGTTGTTACGTTAACGAGGTTGACTTCATGGTCGCTTCGGATTATATTATAAAGACCTAAATTGAAAATGAATTGACGACAAAGAAGAAAAACCTCCGTTGGAGGCCAGTTAAAGATGGTTACTAGACAAACAGAGATATACATAGAACTTTTTTTCGTCTTCCAAATATTTTGATACAAAAGGAATGTCAACTTAAGTTTAGAAAGTAGATGACTTATTCGTCCATTATTCTCCTTAGCATCAATAAATAACGCAGGAAAGAAAGACGTCACTGATTTACATTTAATATTATATATTATATATTGTCTATTCAATTATACACATAATAGTATCGTACAGTACAAGAATTGGCGATCTGCGTCCAAGGTAAGTAAGATAGACAATATGATAAGATGTGTCAATGGATTCTCTTCTGGTAAGATAATAGAACGTGTATTGTAGTTTAACAGGGAGTTATGCAATTCTGAAGATCCTGAGATCTCTCAAGGTTCATCTAAAAGGGGAACAAATTCAACAAGCTGTCCCCGAGTTACAGAAGAAATTTTCAGCCAAAAAAAAACATCTCTGAATTATTTTTACCGAAGGAAACAGGGACCCTTTCAGACTGCTTTCAAGAATATCTTCGCATGATGGAGACTGTAGTTCAGCAGTCCAGTTGTTAATTCTAGGTTGGAGAGTCTTAAGGTAAAGAGACTTCTTTCACCGAAACTTATTACCTCGAAAAATTTCCTTCGACACAAGTCCATCGGACTTGAATTAAACGTGATGCCATTGCATTTCTAGGATTGCAAACAGTATCTCGGCGATTCTACTTATGACAAAGATTTTCCAGTAAGATGGTTGCAATGAACTGAGAGTAGAAGTTGTTCAGAGGTGTATCTCTTTGGCATTTGGAAAATTCTTGGACGATTTGATTTCAACTTTTTTAAATATATCATTGTATAAGGAATTATATTAATATTAGACTCAGCAGAAATCCTAGATAACATCCAAGCAGGTACGTTAGAATCAATTGTTTTCCAGCAGAGAAAAAATTGCTAGTGATATAACATTCCATAATATGAGTGAATGTGTTAAGATTTTATTTAATGTTCCAATTCATATGATTAATCGAAGATCTGATATATTTATAATAAATAATTCTTAATGTGCAGGAAATTTTTATCCCAAATCTAATATATTGTAAGTAACTGTTTGTAAAACAGTTAAATTAATTGATATGCATTTGTTATACAAACAACAGTTACATTTTATAGAAAAAAATTATTTTAATATATAAGATTATAGCGTCAAGTTTGGAAAGTTAAATCATATTATTTCTATAATCACTTTTGGTAATAGAAATTTCATTGGAACATTAAAGAATTTTGACCAAACAATTAATATACTATTAGATGAGTCTCATAAACGTGTGCATAGTATAACTCAAGACGTAGAGCAAGTAATATCAACATATTATCGGAGGTGATTATGTGACAATTGTAGGAGAATTGGAATGCACATTTAGATTTATCTGATATAAGAGCTGATCCTTCAAGTTTTATTGTACATTGATGAAAAAAGATTACAATTATAATTATCATTGCTTAAAAATAGCATAGCTAAACAATATCAATAATAACAATAATAATTTACAACAGTGAATTATAATCAAACGAAAATACAATTTCTTATATAGACCTATTTTGTATATTATATAAATTTTATCATTTATAGTATCCATATTTATAAAAAATATTTGCGTTTTGAACAAAAAAAGTACGGTGGATAAATAGTGTTTATAATATTACAGATAATACCAGCAAAACGTATTAATAATTAAATTGTACAAAAAGTTTCATTACATGATAGTAACTATATTATGATAACATTATTCGTCATTGAGATAATATTATATCCACAGAACATTGAAAGTCGTGCGTCAGAAGAAGACGTAGAAGATGACTGAAGCTATATGACTTTATCATGATCCAGATTATATCCATGATCCACTTGCTTGCGCACGATTCAACCTACACCAGCGCAGTGGCAAGAAAAACGACTATGCAGACTCTTAGCCTAAGAACCACAAAGGGCTAAATCTTTTGGATTAAAGAATTTTAAAGACGCTAGACTGTTGGCTATATGATAGGAGAAAGCAAGTGAAATAAGGTATGACACTATAGATTAGATACATATAATCGCTTATCATAGCTACAGTCTAATAAACAGGATAAGAATTGGACAGACAATTGAGCTGTTTATTTTGAAAATGGCCCAAGTCCATTTATTTTTAAATCAAGATATTTAACGGTTTGCGTTTTAATAATTTCAAAAATATTGGCAACTGATAACATGGCAGTTGTGTTTCTAAGGGTAGTGTAGTTTCCAACCCAATTAGTATGATAAACATTGTTTAGAAAATAATACCTTTTTGATGGCTATAAATGGACTTAAGCCATTATCAAAATAAAAATCTTCATCATTCTACACAACCAACTAATTTTCTGTGTACAAAATCTTTTTCAGTAACAAGATACCAGCTGGTCGATACGCTTCAAGATCGAGCAATACAAAATTAAATGTCCATATCGACTAGAAAGAAGTTGGTCAGATGAATAGATTATTCATTTCTTTGTCTCCTTTTTCTATGACCTTGCAATTGGAAAACAGTGAACACCTGCAATTGGAAAAACCGACTCCAGCCGATTCAATTTGTCTTACAGAAATTTTACACTCAGTTGAAGACAAAAGTTGAAGTTTTCGTAAAAGCGTTAATAGAAGTTTCCCGGCCTATTCACGTTGAGTATGTTCGCAATTAGGAATACCAATCAGTCACTCCAATATTCTATTAAACTCTTGAAGCTGTATTGCACTCGATGGTGCCGTTATTTTTGATTCTCGAGCAGTTTCAAAACACTATGGATTTCAAGAACATCAACATTAATAATTGGTCACAAGAAGCCGTTTGTTTTGGTTTGTTTGATTTATTACAAAAGCTCACGAACGATCAAAATTGTACTCCATGACTGCGATGTTGTTCAGGAATTCGAGATTATGATGAACTGAAAGAAACTACAAAAAGAAATTAAGTTAATATTAATAGTAACTTTGTTTCTAAACATTCGGTGCTTATAATTTAGTCTATCTTGGCTATGGATTTTAATCACGATTTCAATGACGATTGCCATACTGTAGTTTCTTTATAGTCACAGCTATCAATATTGTCGAATTTCTCAGAGAGCAAACCTCTTATTTTACGTTATGTTTACAGATAGTTGTAGATGAAGCTTGCTGATTTCTAATTTCATAGCTCCAAATTTAATTTTGTTAGAGTATGAATCTTAAACAATAAGTTCCTTCTCACGACAAATTAAAAATGAACTTTAGTCGCTTTAAAGTCAGGGATCTATTAACGTCGAAATCCAAAAAGTGTTAAAAGTAATAGATAGTTACAATCAGAAGTACCAGATGCAAGGTAAACATGGCAGCATGAGGATCTTATAATGTAGTAGTCAGTAAAAAAGACAATAGAATCATGGTAGTGGCCGTATTTTAGATAATATCTTTTATCAGACCTGCCAAACTAGCGGGCAGTTATGACTTATACAACTGTCTGAGAGCCACGGTAGAGAAAGGGTCCTAACTCTTATTTCTTTCTCCTCCAGATACTGCACTAAGTCCAATCACCTACTTTTCAAATTATAGAAAGCTGTTTTTGAAAATACATCAACATGAGAAGAGATTATAATTGATAAAGTGAAAAGAATAAATCAAACATGTGCGATAATGACTATGTGATAAAAGAATTGACTAGGGTCTGAAAAAAAAAGAGAGAAATTTTCGGCTTTCCCTTCTTTTTCTTTCGAGGTTCTAATCGATTCTCTTATTAAAATTATTACACATATTTCGTTTAATCTTTTAACTTTGTCAAAGAAATAGAGCGAAGAGAGCTCTCGAAAAGGAGTACAAGTCATGATTGTATCGCGAACCGCCTGTTCGACAGTACATAATAAAAGAATTATAGAAGATGAAGGCCAATTATTGCAAAATGATTTTACACGAAAAATAATGAATGACTCATTACGATTCATTTAATTGCATTTGTTTGTTCTTGTTATAGTACTTCACTTCACTATAATTGTATCACTATAGTTTATGATTCTAACAGCCAGTTTACACGATTGATCGATCGGTCTCTATGAATTCGTGGTTTCAATATTGTAGAAATGCTAAAACAAGTTTATGACTTTAAAGCGACTCAGCGTTTATAATACTTATAAAATGTTATGTACAACATTATGTACTCTGTGTACAATACTTGTAAAATAATATAATTTTAATATAATATTTTACAATTAATAATTAATTTAATACAATGTAATATTTCAATATATTTTAATATATTAAAATATAATAATATTTTAATATAATATTTTATAATTAATAATTAATTTAATATAATGTAATATTTTAATATATTCTAACATATTAAAATATAATAATATTTTAATATAATATTTTATAATTAATAATTAATTTAATATAATGTAATATTTTAATATATTCTAACATATTAAAATATAATAATATTTTAATATAATATTTTATAATTAACAATTAATATTTTATAATTTTAATGATTATGAGAAAGAAAGGCATGTCGAACACGTGGATCTGATCTTTGAATACAGAAAAGCGCAATAGACAATGCAGAATCGCGTAAAATTGAGTAAACAGTGTGTAATAAAATCGATTTGACTTAGTTTAATTAAGTTTAATCTTAAAATAACTATGTGTATAATGTATGTCACTAATGTATATCAATATATGTATCTTGATGTTACATTCGATCTTAATTCATTAATTAACCTTCAAATCGCACAGTACAATGTGTACTTTAGCTTTTATCGTAACGGCTTATTCACACAGGTTCTCTCTTATGTTTAAATAAGCAAGACCGCCTCACACCCACTAGGCACAGAATATTTTCATTATATTCTCATTAACATGTGCGACTTAAATTTTCGGTGAATGCTGTTCACGGTTGTTACTGATTCTGTCGATCTGCCGAATCGATAAGAGCCGAAAGCAGCATTTACGCATGCATCTTTGCCGCAAATTCAATTCGTGGTACTGAATTTGTGGGTACAGTATAGTGTATTATTCACACGACGACAAAAGGAGGTCCATTTATAAGTGAAAGTAGGATAGGGCTGGATACGTGGGTATTATCTGTGTATGTGTGACCTTTCGTTTTCATGTTTTTGACCATTTAATTTAAAGTGTTATTATTTCGTATGCACCTCAACCCAGAAATCCAAAATCTCCTTCGATACACGTACACAGAAACATAAACCAAGCTTCTGGATGCCCTAAAGAAAAAGTATAGAAGTACATTTCAAGTTAAATTCGTTTTCTGCCACTGGTGAATCTTTTCGGCATAAGTTTATTCCACTGAATAAACAAAGTCTATACAATATCAATTTTATAGATTCCGCTTTGTGATGCGCGAGCTCCTCTCTCAGGTTGCTCAGTTTCCTGTGCAAAATTAGTGCCTATTCTATGCATCTTCTTTTAGCAATTGAAATAAAGTATATCTACAGATGTATATATACACATCTAACACTGCAGTTGACACATTGTTAATTAGTGGTTGTATACTGATAGAAATTTTAATAGTTGTTATTCTTAGCAGGATCAGTCTTGCACGGGCAAATAAGCTTGTCACGCTTGTAATATAATGAAATTGAAGAATTTTTAAAAGACAATGTAAAAGGAAATGGAGATATACAATAGAAATTTTGTTTTTGATTGAATTGTTTAAATTAAAATTTACAAAAACAAAGTTTCACCAAACTTAACTGGACATGTCAATGACTTTAAAAATTAAATTTAGTAATTCATATCTGAAATAAAATCATGGCAATTACATCACCTTGATACACAAGTTTCCAAAAATTTACAGACTCACTAATGAAAGTTCAAGAACAATTTGATATCTCTCTGAATAACTCAAAAAGATGAACAATCAAATAACGAGACATCAGAAATATATGCTGATCTTATCATATTTTAAAAATTACAATTTTAAATATTCATGACGCAATTCATGACGATATCAAAAAAAAAAAAAAAAAAAAAAAATAGTACATGTGAAATAGGTTCTTCTATTGCTTGGACATTTGTTTTGTATTTTCCTCTTTATATTGCTTTGAATTTTTATTCCTTCGTTCAAGGAACAAAAACTTTGAATAGCATGGCTTGATGTCTTGATAATGTTAAGAAATAAGTTCATCTATTTTTCTGCCTGGACATTTTTCTTGTATTTTGTTTTCTTTCTTAAGAATTTTCTTTATTAAACTAAAGATATGCTTAGTAATAACATACCTTAACCCGGGATTACTCACGTGGGGGTCTAATGCAGGTACATCCACGTGGGGGTCTAATGCCGAGAGTACCCACATGGGGGTCTAATGCCGAGAGTACCCAGGTGGGGGTCTAATGCCGGGAGTACCCACGTGGAGATCTAGTAGACTCCCACCATTATCAAATCTTTTCTAGTTTCGTCTAGCTTCGTGATGAGTTTTTTACATTCAGCGTTTCAGTTTTCCTTAATATCTTCGACCTTTTTCATAGATTTACGCAGTATTGTAGGCTTACTCCAAATATTAGACCCCCACGTGGACATCCTGACCAGACCCCCACGTGGGTACTTCCGGCACTAGATCCCCATGTGGGTGTACCTGCATTAGCCCCACACGTGGGTAATCCCGGGTTAAGGAAAAACAAGATAAACTTTTTTTTAAACAATTTTTTAATGTATTAATTATTTTGATCCTTTTATGAATTAAGTGCAAAAATTAATGCAAATTTGATGTTATAAAGCTTGCATATATAAATTTACTTTTACTTCTCCCATTTTTAAACAGATAGATAACAACGTCTGATGAGTATGGTAGATGTAGCATAAAACATAATATTGTTTGTCCATATTTTGATGAAAAACATTTCATATTTCTTCGCGATATGAACAGTTGTCGTTTCTCTTATATTTCTGTTTCTCATCTATTCAATTATTGTATTTGTCACTATCAATAGGTTAGATGATAGAAGTTCATGAAAAAGGTATGCCTTTATGATATAAGTTGATAATAATATTCTTGGAAGATAATTCCTTAGGGTGCAATTGGGCTTTGGTGATTGTTAATGGTTAATCGGCCACTCCAATGTTTTTTCCTTATCACATTATATTAAAAGTAACCCATTTCTCATTACCAGTAACCATTTGCTTTGAAAATGAACAATCCTTAACAAAGAGTAAGCAAATTGAAATGCAGAGTTCAATTAAATTTCTCTCGGAGAATTCGCAAGGAAACCACAGATCATATTTGTTTGTCATGCCAAGCTTACGTAAATGTAAAGCAACGGATTTATACGATGTTTCCATACGATATACCATATATTGGCAATTTCCTTCGTGTGTATCTTGAATTTTGGTGGATTAAATTTGCAATTTCATCCTCCTTAATCGTTGATGGTCTGCCACTTAGCTTTCGATGGTTTCAGTTGAGATCTCCATCTTTAAACATTTTACTCCACTGTTGAATCGTTCGTTCATTCATATAACAGCAATATATTCATATAATATCATAAACACAAGAAACTTTCATTTTAATATTTTCCATACTTTTCAATCTTCGAAAATGGATTAAACGGCGAAAATGAATGTTTTATTCCTTTATTTTAAAAATGTACTTTATATGATCAAAAAAGAATTACACATAAAGCACGTCTGTATTATATATAATTTGATACACTTATAAACATTGTAGTCGAAACAAGTGTAACAGAGAAAATATTTCCCGAAATGTGTATTGTCATGCTTCTGTCTGCGTTTTTCTGAGCTATGAATTTTAAATTTCGAAATTCAAGATCATTCGAAAGTCATGCATAGTACAATGAATTAAATATATTTAGTACGGTGTATTTAGTACATTAGTACGGTGAATTAAATATATTTTTTCATGAGTTGTGCAACGCAACTATTTTTGTTTGAAAAAGAAACAACGTTTACAGGATATTGGCCACTAAAATTATGTAATAATTTAAATAAAATATTTTTTGAGCCTAAAATTGAGCTTAAAATTGAAAAAGATATTTGAAGATCACACTTGAATACGACACTCCTGTATTATCAAATTTTTGTATTATCAATTTTTCGGAAACGATGCATTTTATTTTTAAAAAATTGTATTCTATTATTTTGACAAGAATTCTATTTTACATATGAAGTATTCTGCGCGTAAATTTACGTTGGAGGATGTGTTCGCGTATCTGGAATATAAAATCTTAATTAAATCTTAATTAAATCTATCTTTTCTTAAAGATAGCGCGTAAGAGATATTCGCGTGGAGACAAAGCCATGTGTAGCTCTATAATTGCTCCCGAATTGAAAAGCGATGAGTCTATGAGAAGAATTTGTACATACCAATAATATTTCAGAATCTCTGAAGTATTAAAAATTACTGTGTGATGGGGTCGGGTTAATTATTAAAAACATTGCAGAATTAAAGTCTGAAAACAAAGAAAAGAAAAACGACAGATATCGAAGTATCACAGGTAAATAGTTTTTGCTTAATAATTAATTAATTATTTTATTAATTATTAATTATAATAATTATTTATTATTATTTATTTAATAATTATAATTATCAACAATTTCAATAAAAATTAATTGCTATCCAGAAAAACATTATTAACATTATTAATTTCTTACCACTGAATTTCTTACCACTGAAAAAATATTGTTGTCAATAGCTGAGATATACAGTATACAGTATACAGTATACGTCGCTATTTTTATACGTTGACGGTGCATACTTATTTTTGTTCAAACCAAACGTTCTGTGCTTTTGGCAACTCCTTCTATAATTGTTTTCATTCATAAAGTGACTGTTTTTTGATTGAAATCCAAAAATTGACTACTAACATTGGAATTAATGATACATATGTTGCGATTTTTCACGACGCACACGTTACATTATCAATAAAGAGTGTGTCAATGTCCTCGTCGACGTCTGTTATTTGTGCTCCTAAATGTGGATCCACAGAGAATCTTCGATTCGTGTTACCGTCATTGGTGTTACTAAAACCTAATTTTTGGACATCAGTAAAAACACCCATCTTGTTTTTCAGTTTTCTTCGAAGGAATAAACCTTTCTTTCATAATATCTTATTCACCTACGTATGTAATTTCCACTTTTTATTGTTAACTTGTATAATAAATGTAACAAATCTTTAAACAATCATACTTTGATTTATTTTTATACTTTTTATTAAATTGTTAAAATCCTTAGATATTAATTTGTAGATAATATCTCATTGTAAATGCTACATGCGTGCAACCATTGTTAACAACATTGAATATCTTACAAGAAGAGATAGATTTTTCAATGAATGTAATTCTGATAGGCTGAGAATAACATGACAAAGAAGATATTTTAACATGACAAAGAAGTTATTTTCTTATTTGCATTACAGATTAATTGTGAAAAATATTTCTGTCAATGCCATCATTTCCAATTGTGTCATCTATTGCAACTGCACTTGTGGCCGAAGTGTGTCCAGCTCCTTCTCTTAGAATTAATTCTTCTGAGTATAAAAAAAAATTCTTCCCGAGGAACTTTAGTCATTTAAGGATATGAAGACAGTTCTGTACTACAATGAATTGCTAAATACAGAAAAAAGAACAACTACAGAATTGCTACTCGACAACAACTCTTCAATTTGAATGACGCAACCGAATGAAAAATTATTTGATCAAGTTCGTAAGTCGCAAGTTCA